AATTATATTGAATCTTTTTAATGAGAAGTGCTTCCTTGAATAATTTTATCCTTATAAAACTATTAATTAGAACTAAAATTGGATATACTTTAATTAAACTCTTTTCAAATAGAAAAAAATTAAGAATAATTAGATAACATGAATTAACTATTTCTTATAATTACTCATTACGAACAATAATTATAAAATATAAGATAAGATGAAATTATTTGAAGATATCTGAGATTATATAATTTTAATAATTAAATAGTAAACAAAGGTTGAGAATGGAAGTTATAAAATTAGAATTTTAAAAGAAGAATAGAATCCAATTATAAATCGAATACTGTTAAGAGGAAAAATTAAACATTAATTTACAAAATGCTATTATTTTCTCTAATTTAAATTTATTTATTATTCATACAAAGAAGTGTAATCATTATAGGATTGGCCAAATAAAATTTTATGAGAAGAGAAAATTATCGAATACAAGATAAATAGATCAAAATGTTTTCTATTAATTCATTTGATAGAATTAATAGAAATTTATGAATTTATATAGTTTGGCATAGTCATATACCAATTGTCGTTTAGTAGACTACCATTTACAGCTAGTGAAGAAGATAGACAAAGTTGAGATTATTTGTTTGAATATATATTAGGTAATTATACTTATCTATTTTCAAATTGATCCTCTTATAAGCAGAAAAATTCTTTGTTCTACTATCAGCTATATTCAGGTTAAGAATATTTCATTGAGGTGTAATTAGGCAGGCATTAAAATTTCCTGGAAGAGAATCGCATAGTTTTTTTATTTTTAGCAAAGGCGGAATAATCTTTTAAGCTTCAATAATGCATTTTAACATAACCTCATCGACCCAAATTTATTCTTTTTGAATAGCTAAATTCCCTTATTTAATTTTTTCAAATTAAAATTGAAATTGATTAAATTAATTAATAACTCTAATTAAGTTTACCAGCTTTTTATTCTACCAATGATGTAAAATTTAAAGGTATTCTTTCTTGACTTACTTTAAATTATAATAATTATCCTGAAGAACCCGGAAGAGAGATTATCTGGTTAAGAATTAAATGAAGAAATTAGCTTTTGTGTAATTTTATCTAATACCATTTATACCTATAATAATACACATAATTGAAAAGGTATAATTATTTCCTGCCTTTTCTTAATTAGTTAAGTTAACTTCTAATGATATAAATTAAATGCTATAAATAATGATATCTTAATCAAAAATAAATA